ATGTTGAATGCAGAAATTTCTTTTGATCATTGATGGCGTCGAAAATTAAAACAAATCTAGAAAAATTGAAAAACTTGAATTGCAAACAAGAAGAAAAAATTACAGTTCATATTTTGTATAATCATTAAAATTGGAGGTCAAAACACAAAATTACCTATACGGCTATACCACCCAAAAACTAGCTAGTTTTTAACAAGCAATATCATTCAACAAACTCTCAAAATCTATCACTTTCTGCATAGCGTCATTGAATTCAACAGTCATTTTCATTTTCTCCAATGAGATTCTGGCAGCTTCTCTCTGGATTTTCAACTCGGCATCTGCCCTCATCCGTAGAAGTGTTTGGAAAACTTTGATTTCTCCTTCAATCCTGGCTTTCTCTGCGATCTCCAGCCTCTCTTTTTCTTGTTGTTGCTTTTGTGGGTCAGCATTATAATTATCTCCCTGATTGAGCAGATGATGATTTGCTTTGAAAATGAAATGTCCATAACGTTTATTCATTTGGGCAGCACGTAAACCCTTAGTTGGAGAAAGCTGAGCAGCAACAGTAAGCTAAGCAGTGCAACCTTCATCAATGGCGGCAGTAGTGGCACGTGACGATGAATGATCCGATGTACAACTTTCTGTTTTCCATGTGCAATGACGACGTTTTCTTCTGAAAATCCCTTCCACCTCGATTTTGTAAACAACCTTGTTCGCAACTTTGATGACTCTTAGGCTTGTTTTGGCAATCCAACTCACCTCTGTGAATCATCGTCGTCGGGAGAACCCTCCCGTAGCCTTGCGTTAAACCCTCACTTTGGTAGTCCATTCTTTGCCGCCTCTTAATTTCTTTTCCGGTATCATCTACTTTTAAGTTTAAGTCATCAGAATCATGCTTCTTCAATTCAAGCTTCTTGTTGTGAGTGATGAGTAGATTCCTCATCATCTTCAAACCTTTTTCCCGACCATCTCTTTTCCTGTCTCCTTTCCTTTCGTTGAATGAAATTATGATCTTTATATTCGTTACCCTAGATCATCTAGCGTCGTCATTGCTATGAAGTCACCCCAAACAAATCTCATAGAGATTGACGATACGATTGAAGAGTGCGATTTTGAAAACCTAGTCAAAGAACTTAAGAAAGTGAGTATCGAAACTAGTGAGAGCGTTTTCCTTACAACTGAAATTCAGAAACTTTTAAGAAGATACATACAGATGGAGTAACATTACTTTACTGAGACATGCAAACATGTTTACATGGGTGAGTAATGGTGAATGCAGAAATTTGTTTTGTTCATTGATGGGGTCGAAAATTAAAACAAATCCAAAAAATTTGAAAAATTGAAATTGCAAACAAGAAGAAAAAATAACAGGTCAGATTTTGTATAGTCATTAAAATTGGAGGTCAAAATGCAAAATTACCTATACCAACAAAAAACTAGCTAGGTTTTAACAAGCAATAGCATTCAACAAACTCTAAAAATCTCTCATTATCTGCATAGCGTCATTGAATTCAACAATCTTTTTCATCTTCTCGAATGAGATTTTGACAGCCTCTCTATGGATTTTCAGCTCGGCCTTTGCCCTCATTCGTAGAAGTGTTTTGACAACTTTGATTAAATAATGGACCCAGCTAATATGGATTAATCATATAATTAAATAATGCACCCAGTTAATATTGATTATTTAATTATTTAAGATCCATTAATGTTAATTAACTTGTAAAAGAATTTGAATTAACAATAATGTTAATTAACAAGTTCTTTACTCGAACTATTATAATTAAGAATTCTAATTGATATCTAAAAATAAATTTTTAAATTATTATATTTATAATTAAGAATTTTTTTAATTTTAATTAATAAAAACCATTTAATTTCTTATATCTATTTAATAAAGTAATATTAATATTAAATAAAATAGTATACAAATTAACAATGTAGTACAATTGTTGAGGGCAACCCTCAATTGTGTTAGTTAAACAATTAGCTTACAGTCACAAAATTTTAAATAAGACTCTATCGGAAATTATATGTCAATGTTATTTATAAGAGTTACACTGCACCAAATTGTTTTGTCATCAAATTCTGCGTAAAAACATCAAATTCTTTGAAACTTGCAGTGGTCTAGGCCTCCTGAGCAACTAAAAGTTTAGAAAGGGTGTTGGGCGTTGATTGGGTTCGTCGAGTTCAACCTCTGCTCGATTGGCTTACCATAGAGGAATATAATGTTGTATTTTTTGGATAACAACCAGATAGCCAAAATTCTGTCGTTAAGCACTGACATGATGCCAATCAATAGATAACTAACATGGTGTTTAGTTGGAATGAAGAAATTAGAGGAAAAGGAATTGTAAGTCGGTGAGGAAAAGAATAAGGAGAAAATAAAGTTGGAATTCAAATTATATTGTTTTGTGGGGAGTAATAGAATTATTGGGAATGAGAATGGAAGAAATGGTATAAAGACTAACATGTCCTTGTATAATAATAATAATAATAATAATAATAATAATAATAATAAGAGAAAAGGGTCAAATAAGCCCTTAAACTTTACCCCAAAAGTCAATTAGGCCCCTAAATTTTAAAAAGTGCAATTAAACCATCAAATATGTCAAATGCGTCAATGAAACCCAAAAACCGGTGAATGACCGGTTATTACAGGTCATTTCAATTCCGGTAACGGATTCTAGCGGCCGGTGACGGCTTTGCCCAAATTAAAATGTGGATGATAGCTTTGTTTTTGGGGTTTTTTAACAGTAGCATCACATATATGGCAAGCAATTGACGGAATGTTGTGATATTTCAGTGTATTTGGGTAAGTTTCCTTCTGTAGTTTATAGAACTGCTTCGAAGTTATATGATTCTGCAAGTACTAATTACTGGTTCTATGAATGTGTAGGCGGTTATGACAAGGAGGACAAGGCTGTGAGGGCGTATGATTTAGCTGCTCTGAAGTACTGGGGTGCTACAGCGACCACCAACTTCCCGGTAAAAACATTATTCTTAGCATCATTGTTCCTCGTCTGATGTATTTCGTATCAAAAAAGGAGCTGACATGAATGGTGAAATGCTGTTTTTTGGGCTTTGCCGTCTCCGGTCGCCGGAATTTTTCGCCGGTCGTCGGAATCTGTCACCGGAATTGAAATGATCTGTAATAACATGTCATTTACCAGTTTTTGAGCTTCATTGATCTAATTTGACATGTTTGATGGTTTAATTGTACTTTTTTAAAGTTTAGGGGCTTAATTGACTTTGGGATAAAGTTTATGAGTCTATTTGACCCTTTTCTCTAATAATAATAATACTAATAAAAATCAAGGATAAAAAAGTCTTTTTTCTTGCTTTTTCCCTTTCATTTCCCTACTAAGGGTATTGCAATTTGGTGGACTTGCAATTCCCTCTAACTAAAATCTGTAATTCGGGTGGTCAAAGAATTATTATATAATTAAATTGCAACTACATCTAATCAAACGGCTCAAAGAGTAGTAGGTATGGCAAACTTAATTTGTGTGCATAAATACGTCTAGTGCTTTTTTGGACCCAAAGAGTTGAAGGTATGGCAAACTTAATTTGTGTGCATAAATACGTCTAGTGCTTGTTTGGAATTAACTTCACAAATAAACTACATTATGATTTTGATTAACAATAAAGAACTACAATTGATATTCAGTTAAAAGTAAAACATTAATAGGAGAGGACCAACCACAACATTGTTAACAATTTTGGACTAAAGTTGTTAGTCAACCATAATTTAAAGATAAAAACTCTACTCATATTTTTAATAGTAAATGTCAAGATTTCTATTACAGGGCGTTTGGTTGGAGGGGGGAAATTATGTGGGAAATGAATTGTAATTCCATGGGAATTGAATTACTGGGAATAAAGTGGGAATTTAAATTCCAGTGTTTGGTTGACAGGAATAGAATTACTGGGAATTTCAATTCCAATGTTTGGTATACATGGGAATTGAAAGAGAATAAGTAGTATAAAGTTAAAAATGTCCATTATTATTGTTAGACATTAATTTTAGGTTAAAAAAGGAAGGGGTAATTTTGACTCATCACTATCTTTTTTTCCCAAGAATTAAAATACCAGGGGGGACATGGAATTTTAATTCCATGAAAATGGGGGAATTGCAATTACATGGAATTGCAAAATTCCCTCCAACCAAACTACGGAATTTAATGGCCTTTGGAATTAGGTGGGAATTAAGTGGGAAGGGAATTTAAAATCCCTCCAACCAAAAGCCCTGTAAGTATTTGACTATTTATAATTTTTTTTTTTTTTGAAAATGACTATTTATAATTTAATTACAAATTGTTTGAATAAAATCACGCCAAACTTAATACATGAAACATTGTCCTAGTGTTATTTTTATTGTATAATAGCAGTTGCACCTAAGATTTCTGTGGCAGAAATAAAGGAAACAAAATAAAAGAAGTAAACTTTCCTTTTTCAAATAAGGCAGTAAAAGATAAAATCCATATTTATTATCAAAATTGATAACTTTCTCAATCATTTGTGGTTCAAAAAAATGAAAATTTAATTCACTAGTGTTGAAGAAAAAGAATTTACAGAGAAATCTTTTGAATCTGTGACTCCAATTTACAAGAACACGATCATAAAGTCTTTGACCATGGAGAGAAATCTAATTTTCTACATTATCACAAAAAGGACTAATCCGTAATTCTGTTTCTCTGCTATTTTTTTTTTCTTTTATCATCAAGAAGACATGTTAACGTTAACAGTGGACCCACATACTGTGCAGAGACAGAGATGCCGACACGACAGGGCCGTATTTTAAATTTTGGTGGCCCTGTTCTGGTAAATAAATGTGGCCCTACCAAAATCACAATTTTTAAAATCAATACATGCAAGTTTCGAACCTTTGACCTCCAAGTTAAAATACAATAAATATACATTTTTACCATCTCTTCATAGAACCTTTTAAGTTTAATTGAAAACTCTTAATTTTTATTTCTAAACTAGCTAGGTAAAAATTAAATATTGGACCTATAAAATTTGGGGCCCCTCTAAAATTGGGGGCCCTGTGCGGTAGCCCAGCTTGCACAGCCTAAAATCCGGCCCTGCGACACGACAGCAGCAACACACTCGATTCTCCACGGCCGTGATCGGTGCTTCCGCAGCAGGACTCAGCGTCTTCCTCCACCGGCGCGACGGCGGGGCCGGAGACGCGCTCGTCGTCGGCGGCGACGTGGGCGAGGACTTGCTCCAGATTGGTTCGGAGGGAATGATTCTCCACGCACAGAATCTTCACCCTCTCCTTCATTCTTTGGATCTCTTCGTCTTTCTCCCTCAGTTTCTTCAACATCCCTTCTTCGATCCCTTTCTGCCTCTCATCCAATTCCATCCTCAGTTTCTTCGCCTGCAAAACAAATTCAAGATCAGAAAAACAGATTCTTTAAAAAAAAACACAAAAATTAAAACCTCTGTAAATATCAAATATGTGTGTGTACGTACATGATGCTTCACGATTTGTGTGTTCTTGGCAGAGGCGAAAACAGGGGAAGGATTATAGAGATCGAGGGAATCTCTAGATCGCTTCCCCTGAAGCCGATGACTATTCCCGGCGCCGACATTCACCGCAGTCTTCAACGGCCGAGATCTATTGAATGGGAGAATGCTCTGTCCGGCCAACCTTGGCTTAGTAGTCATAAAATCGCCCAATGGTATGAAATCGGAGAATTCTGGGAGGAGGAGAAGATTTGAATTGGCTTCAACCGCCATCTGAGAGCTTAACCAAGACGAGAGAGAAGACAGAGAAAGAAGAATGGGGTTTACACTTCACACTGCCTTTATTCGCCATTAAATAGGTGTTAAGGTTGCCTAAAACTAAATTGTCCGTTATCTAGTAACGGGAAAATTTTAAATTTTTGCCTTGATCCTCACGTTTGTATATATCTCTTTAAGATCACACCTTTTTCATAAACCAAATATACTATAAATTGTAAGATACTTTACCAGTTGTTTAACTATTTTTTCTTTACTTATTTTCTTACTACTTTCAAATTTTAGTTTTTTTTAGGTGTTTAATATTATTTTAAAATATTTTTAAATTAAATATATAAATTTATATACTTATTTTAAATTTAATATAATGAAAAATTAAATTGTAAATAAATTTAATCAAGTATGGCTAACCGAATTAGATACATTAAAATTCATTAGTGTCTCACAATGTGAAATCTTTGCAAATAAAATGTTTTTGGATCAAAGATCAATTTTAGTATTTTACAATGATGAAATCCATCTTGACATAATGGTGAATTTCTACTAATAAGATGATAGTAATGTAATATAAACCAATCAAATTAATTTATTTTCAAATAAATTAATTAATGTCAAAATTGCGTGATAAAAAAAGAAATCAAAGTCTGTAATAAGTAAATAAAATTCAACCAAGTACTCCGTATTTGAAAAGAATATCTAATACGGAGTAGTAATTTAAAGTCAAACATTTTAACTATTGAATTAAATTACTAATTAAATCCAAGATTTTTTTAAAAAAAATATTTGTGAATTTTTTTTCATAACAATTTATTATGCTTAAAATAATAAACAGAAAAATATTTGCATAATAATTTATTATACATAAAAATAATAAGCATACTAAATTTAGAAAATTTAATTAATTACTAATAGTGAAGACTTTTTATAGGCAGAAATGTACAAGTAAGTGAGAATTTTTTTTTTTTTTAAGTAATGTGATTACCCCATTTTTTTAAGTAATCTTAGATTACTTTGAATTATTCCAATTTTGTCATGGTTAACTAATCCTTATATATTATTCAAAAAAAAATTCTAATCCTTATAATAATAATAATAATAATAATAATAATAATAATAATAATAATAATAATAAAAAATAAATATATGTTTATATAATCAAATATACATTTATGTATATTTATATATATATTTTTTAATATTTAAGCACACGCGCACACACACATATTGTAGTTATATTATTTTTATTTTATCAAATAAAACTGCAGTTATATCAAAATGATACCGTAATTGTGGTAAAATGAAACTGAATAACATTTCATATATTTTAGTGTATATTGTACAATGAAGCTGTAAGTATATTCAAAATGATCATGTAGTTGTGTTTTAATAAAACTATAGTGTATATAAAATAAAATTAAATAACATTTTCACATATTTGAGTCTATAAACATCGAATGAAACTGTAGTTATATCGATATATATGAAACTGTAGTTGTGTTGAACTGAAACTACAGTGTATACAAAATGAAACTGAATAACAGAGTTACTTTTTGCGAAAGGGTGCGGAACGGCGAGAAACGAATGCCGTTTCTTTTCATTAAACAAAACAATGTCGTTTTGATGCGCGGTGCATAATCGAATATGCACCACGGTGCACAATATAATTTGTCGTAATCCTATTAGGGTAATCCAAGATTCTGTGAACCAAACCCCCCTAATGCATTTATTGTGTATCTTTTTCAATAGTAGGATGTTAAATTTTAGTATGTATATATTATTTCTTAAATTTATTCCTTAACAACTTTTTCTTTTACTTTTTTTGAAAACATAACTTTTTCTTTATCTTTTCTCAAATAGTCAAATATTGCATACTCAATCAATGAGTCAAAACCGTACTGTTAGTAATATGCATTAGGAGACTGTTTCTAATACCTACAATTACCATTCCCTATTAACCGTCATCTATCTTGGCAGCAATATAATGCATTAGTTATCTATGTTTTATTCCTTGTAGTGCGTTGATTCTACCGCTTTCTAGTCCCTAATAAGGCAAGTCTTATAGACATTTGGCAATAAAACTTATTTGCTTGATTTAAAAAATCTTGGGACCTATCCTTAGCTAGTATTGACTCACATCCATCAAAGGGATGAATATATTTTTATATTTAAAAAATAAAAATAAATAGAAGTTCCTGTTGAATTACATAGTTGCACAACAAACAATCACTCTACCTCATTTGCCCTACCCTCATTTCTAACATTACAACATCATATCTATGACATTCAAAGGTACCTTACCTACCAACAATCAAGACTCAGTTCTCAGAATCAGTGAAACTTGGGCTACCAAAATCGCCCGAATGCGCTGAAGCAAAAGACTCGGAACTTTCCAGAGTCGAGAGCGAAGAAGGTGAGCCGGAGTCCAACATAAACTCGTCGTGAATTACATGTTCTTCGTCGTAAATCTCTGACGTATCTGATCCAGACCCACCCAACAGAAGCTTGTTTATTGCTCTTTTTGCAGTTTCCACAAACCATTCATCTTCTGGCAGGGCACTGCCAAGAATGAAACATTTAGTTGCATGGAGCCATTATATCGGAAGCTATTTGATGCACATGCCTGGATGGATAACCAGCAAATCGTGCAATCTCTACAGTGAAGTGCATATCTAGCATTAACTGTCAAATAAGAAGTTGAATGCCATGGTTAGAGAGTGGGACTTTCATGCCATAGCCCATAGGTGAGCAATAACAAGAAAGTAAATGCAGCTTTTTAGCATTGAACTGACAGAGCGACTCACGATTTACCTTCTCCAGCGGCTCTTGAGCAGGGCTTCTGAGGGCACCTGACCTGCTGTTTGATTGAAGAATCTTTAAAGGCAAGTAAAAGAATGTTTCATACATATCAGCATCATATATTAGCTCTACACTCTGTTAAAACTTTCCAGTCCAGTGATGGGTAGATACATTCTCACCTCAGACCTATACCCTTAATTCATTAGCTACAAACATTAAAGCAGAAACCTACAAAGAATTATTCATTGATAAACACAAAACAAGCAAAAAGCATTTAAATGATAACTTACACCAGCTTTAGGTTCTTGCAGAAGGCTTTTTTGAGAATAACCTTTCGCCTCCAAGAATAATGGAAATGGATTCTTTGAAAAATGCCAATTAACAAAGTGTCAATAGGTACAATCATGGACGGAGCTAGCTTGGGGGCAGCTGCCCCCACTCCCCCCACCCCACCCCTTTATATATATGTATGTATATTTATATACATATATAGCATTAAATGTTATATAAAATTTATATTTATGTTAAAAGTATTAATTGTTTGAGTAGTTTAATTGGTTGAACTCTAAATTTAATTTTAATAAAAAGTATATGGTCATGGGTTCAAAACTCATTAACAACACTTGTTTATTTTATCTCTTTCATTATTCCTTTCCAAGTTAAATTAAATATTTTTTTAGTCTACTTTTATGAATCATTTAACTAATGTAGTACACAAGTTTATATTATACTTCATATAAATTTATTCGAATTAATTTACTAGTTGATCTACTTCATTAGTCTACTTCATTGTATTCAAATTAATTTAGAAAAACTTAAAGTTGATCTAACTAGAAAAAAATTAAATTTAAAAGTACTTATGATCGAATATAGTCTTATTCAAATTTTTTTTATCTAATGGATTATGTTTCATATTTTGTCATAAATATTTTCACATTTTCACCCCACACAAGTATATTTTTAGCTCCGACTCTAATTATTGTGTAATCTATAAAAAATATTCTATTGTAATTTATAAAGTATTTTGTATTTTAACATTATTATGCCGGTTTGATATTTTTTAATTGCCATTTCTATCGTCATTTAAACTTCGCCCCCACTCAGTTAATTTTTTGACTTCGTCCCTGGGTACAATAGACTATGCTCTGAAGCAATTTCAGGTCCTTTAAGCTGTGAATAACCTTTTTTGTTACAAAATATAGTGCTAACATGTATATTTGCCTGCAAATTTATGTGCCTGATCAGAAGCGAATTGAAACTCTAGAAGCAAGAAGTTGAAAGGACCCATGAATCTAATGGCCCATCAAATTAAAAGATCATATTAGTGGCAGCCACATGATTCAGTTTTGATTTCATAGTAAGTTTGATTAGTACCACACTACCACCTGAAGAGTAAGTACATCTATATCCTACATTAAACCCAAATACTGTTGCAACGTGTCTAGTATCATCAATAATTTTCACATTCATTTTACACCTGTTCATTTTTTAAGTTCATATTGTAGAAATGTATGTAGTACTTGATTTTGTGTGCCTTTTTAACGGAATATTCCATTGCTAAAATTTACACAGAGTGCAGGGTATTAGGAAAAGTAAATGATATAATAGACAGTCAAGTAGGAAAATTAAAAAAAAAAATTACTAAAATCAAATTAATCCGAACCATTCATTTTATCAAATAATTTAACGGATATTTTTAGTTTCCATTATAGACCTAATTTTGTTGGCTTTGTTTTTTGGAATACAAAGGGGTGCTATCCGGGACGGACAAAAACAGACGGCCTATCTTGTCTCGTGAACGAGACGTAAGCTAATAGCGTCCAATTTATCATTGCGCACCAAAATATCACAATCCGGTGGATCAAAAGAAGACCAAATTAAACCATGGTACCATTAGTAGCCAAAAAAGCCAAAACTTAAACAAATAGAATTAGCTAAATAGATTATTTGCTTTTATTAGTATATATATACTAGTATCTCTTATGATTGATGTGTAAAAAATAGGTGCTCAATATTAATATTTTATATTAAAATTTTAAATTTATTTAGATTTTAGATATTTAAATTATTGTAAATAATAATAATAATAATAATAATAATAATAATAATAATAATAATAATGTAAAATATTTTTATAAATTTAATATTTATATTTTAAGAAATAACTAACATATAACCCCAATATATAATGTGTATATTATTATTATTATTATTACTATATTATTATTATTATTATTATTATTGAAAATAAGAAAATATAT